TTTGGAGACCACTGATCTACAAAGTTGGTCGGAATAATAAAGACAATCAAGAGATAAAAAAAAGGTGAGCTACAATAAAGCTGAGGTTTAGGTTTGGCACTTTTTACAGTTACATTGGTCCAGCTTGAAACAATGCAAGTATGTGCCGTACCTGTGGAATATCGGTGTAAGCTGGCAACCAATATAGTAGGCATCGCTGCTTTAGTGATCTTCTTTAGCTTCTGGGTCTGGCTGAGTGGCTGCCCTGCTACTTACTTGAACACGGGGAGATCGCAGCCGTTCAGGGAACCCGGGCAGATTGCAGCCGTTCAGGGAACCCGGGCAGATTGCAGCCGTTCAGGGAACCCGGGCAGATCGCAGCCGTTCAGGGAACCCGGGCAGATCGCAGCCGTTCAGGGAACCCGGGCAGATCGCAGCCGTTCAGGGAACCCGGGCAGCCGTTCAGACCGCAGCCGTTCAGGGAACCCGGGAAGACCGCAGCCGTTCAGGGAACCCGGGAAGACCGCAGCCGTTCAGGGAACCCGGGAAGACCGCAGCCGTTCAGGGAACCCGGGAAGACCGCAGCCGTTCAGGGAACCCGGGAAGACCGCAGCCGTTCAGGGAACCCGGGAAGACCGCAGCCGTTCAGGGAACCCGGGAAGACCGCAGCCGTTCAGGGAACCCGGGAAGACCGCAGCCGTTCAGGGAACCCGGGAAGACCGCAGCCGTTCAGGGAACCCGGGAAGACCGCAGCCGTTCAGGGAACCCGGGAAGATCGCAGCCGTTCAGGGAACCCGGGAAGACCGATCGAACCCGGGAAGATCGCCGTTCAGGGAACCCGGGAAGATCGCAGCCGTTCAGGGAACACTGCATTTTCTAAAAAAATTCAGTATTCTTTGATTGCACCAGGTAGAGATCATGACATCACTCATCCTCTCCACCTCATCCAATCCTTGTTTCCTGAAGGTTGCATATGCCAAGTGAGCATTCTGTGTTCACCATGCAGCAGGGCGGCCACTTGGCATGGGACCCAGAAGCTAGTGGAGATCACTGTGGGAGAGGTGCCTATTGCAGTGATTTCCAGCTTACACAGGGATCCCACTAGTATGACACATACATACTTACATTGATCCAAGCTGGAATAATGTGACTATGTAAAACGTGTCATAACTAAACTTTAGAATTAGATGTATTTAAGGTCTGTTGCACACGGGAGTACAAAATGCTGTTTTTTTTACTGATCTAAAATGAGATGCATTGTGGTCTATAGAACATTCCACACCGCTGATCAGTAATAAAGCATTGAGTACAGAGCAGTAAAACAAAAATAGAAGATTTCTCATTTGAGTGCAGCAATTTACTCGCATCCGCGTGTTTACGAGAGTAAATCTGAGTATATTACAATACTGGCAACGAAGAAGAATTTTACTCAGCTAAACGCTTACACATCTTTACTTGCCTATACTCAACATTACTTGGGTCTTTACACACGGTTGTTGGCCCCTTGCACATGGGTGCCACACCTTCCTAAATAAATCAGTAAATTATGATGCCCATGTGCAAGGAGCCTAAGGGCTCATGTACACTGCAGCTGATAAACTCACGTTTAGGAGCTTTTCTGCGTTTTTTTCAGCAGCCCCTGAACTCTAATTTAAACAACAACCGTGAAGTCCATCAATAAGTCCATAAACTATTACCCCTAACTACCCTAAAACATCATAGTGAAAAATAGTTCCAACTGTTCAAAATTCTTCCAACGATGTCCCAGATGCATATACCTCCGGTTCCTGTGTGCGTCTTGACGTCACTTCCCTTGACGCGTTTCATCATCGACTTAATCATAAGGGGTATGATACCCCTTATGATTAAGTTGATGACGAAACGCGTCAAGGGAAGTGACGTCAAGACGCACACAGGAACCGGAAGTTGACCGGTGGCCATTTTGGAGAGGGGAAACGACTGATCTGGAATACCTGGACGTTTTTTCTGGATTGCTGTGAGGTCTATCTGTTATAATGAAGTGATTTTAAAAGCTTATGGATGTAAGCAGTTTGAATAAAGGTCATTTTACTATATTATTGGCGGTATTACACTATTATGTCCTTCATGTTTTGTCTCTGGATGGAGTGAAGCGCCTGGAGACTTTGGGATCATTGTGATTGAGGATCCAGGGAGGATTCTGGAGATTACTTATTCCTGGGAGAGCTGTTGGATCAGTATAAGCATGTGGTTTTTGGAGTGTTGGTAAGGGTATCCTTACTATAAGTAGAAGTGCACACCAGTTTGCAATTTTTTTGTGGCACTGAAGGGTGATTCACACGCACAGTGTTTTTCACTGATTACTTCATGTTTTTTTCAAGTTTTTCACTATTTTTCACAATTATTCACTGTATCAATTGCGTGGAATGAATTGAATTTATGTTGTACAAAAGATAATGCACTATGTGATATTTCTTTTTTTGAGGTATATGCATCTGGGACATCGATGGAAGAATTTTGAACAGTTAGAACTATTTTTCACTATGATGTTTTAGGGTAGTTAGGGGTAATAGTTGATGGACTTCACGGTTGTTGTGAAAATTAGATTTTATTTATTTTGTTTAAAACACTTTCACATATATAATTTGTTACACCTTCAGGGGAGGGTGTTGTTTGTGTTGTGGGGGAGTTTAGTTGTATTTGTTTTGGGAGGTGGTTTTTGATTGAAATAAGCCAGTGAACTCTCCCTAATGTTTTTCTATGTGTCCATGTACACATCGTCGTTTACAGTCTTAGAAAAGCAGTTGAGTTTTTGAACGCACCAACTTGCATTCAGGAGTAGATTTTAGCAACGTTTCAAAACGCCAAATGCTTGCAAACGGAGCTAACCGTGTTTAGAAGCATTTGCGTTTAGAAGCAGTTTTTTAACTGTTCCATATACAGATGCTGTCCAGAGCCTTTTTTCATCATCAGAAATGCATGCAAAGTGTTTTCCATGTATTCAAATGGACCCGGTACACCAGAGCAGTCAGTTCCAGGTTTTGCGTGAAGGAAAAAATGGCATTATGCTCATGATGGGATCCATAGTGAATACAACCAGAAACAACAGGCCATCTCAACACATACTGCTCTCAAAATGTCTGAAATAGGTAATTTTTTAATGCTTTTCAAAGCTTTCTGGGCATTTTGGAAGCTCTCCTCAGGTTATCTTAAAAAAAAAAAAAAAAAAAAAGCCTCTAAAAGCAAACGCGTATAAACTAACTTTTTTTTAACCTACGTTTTCCAGCAGTCAGTTTCCATCGTTCAGAAGAGTTTTCCAAACGTGTTACACAAATGAATAATATTTAAAGTCTATCTACAACTTAACCCACATTTTATTGTGATACCATCAGTCTAGGTCAGTCTATATTGCTTCTCCAAATTATATGTTTTCTCTTACCTGAGCATCCCAGCAACCTCGAACTGCAAAGTCCCGCAACTGCCGTAGGCTTTGTAGGTATCTTCCAGGGTCAGATATCTAGTAAAGGTAATAATATATAGATAAAACAAAGAGAATGCAGAAACTAGCAGAAAAAAAAAAAAAAAAATAAATATATATATATATATATATATATATATATATATATATATATACACACACACATACACATACATATATATATATACATACGCATACATATATACATACACATACATATATATATACACACACATATATACAGTTGCAAGAAAAAGTATGTGAACCCCTTGGGATTACGTGGAGTTTTGCATGAATTGAGCATAAAATGTGTGCTCTGAACGTCATCTAAGTCACAACAATAGAAGAACACAGTCTGCTGAACATAATACTACACAAACATTAGATGTTGCCATGGTTTAATTGCACATAACATGTAAACATTCACAGTGCAGGGAGGAAAAAGTATGTGAGGCCCTAGCTTAATGACTTCTCCCAGAGCTAATTGGAGCCAGGAGTGAGCCAACCTTGACTCCAATCAGTGTGATGATATTGGATGTGTTGCTGACAGCTGTCCTGCCCTTAAAAAACACACACCTGTTTTGGGTTTACTGGTTTCAAGAAGCACTGTCTGATGTGAACCATGCCTCGCAGAAAAGAGCTCTCAGAAGACCTACGATCAAGAATTGCTGACTTGCATGAAGCTGGAAAGGGTTACAAAAGTATCTCCAAAAGCCTTGATGTTCATGTGTCCACGGTAAGACAGACTGTCTACAAATGGAGAAAGTTTAGCACTGTTACTACTCTCCCTAGGTGCGGTCGTCCTGTAAAAATGACTGCAAGAGCACAGCGCAGAATGCTGCATGAGGTAAAGAAGAATCCCAGAGTGTCAGCTAAAGACCTACAGAAATCTCTGGCACATGCTAACATTTTTGTTGACACATCTACAATAAGGAAAACATGAAACAAGAATGGAGGACATGGGAGGACACCACGGAGGAAGCCATTGCTGTCCAAAAAGAATATTGCAGCACATTTGAAGTTTGCAAAAGAGCACCTGGATGTTCCACAGCACTACTGGCAAAATATACTGTGGACAGATGAAACCAAGATTGAGTTGTTTGGGAAGAACACACAACACTATGTGTGGAGAAAAAAAAGGCACAGCACACCAACATCAAAACCTCATCCCCACTGTAAAACTTGGCGGAGGGGAGCATCATGGTTTGGGCTGCTTTGCTGCCTCAGGGCCTGGACGGATTGTTGTCATTGATGGGAAAATCAATTCCAGAGTTTATTAAGACATTTTGCAGGAAAACGTATGACCATCTGTCCACCAACTGAAGCTCCGCAGAGGATGGGTGATGCAACAGGACACTGACCCAAAGCATACAAGTAATTCAACAAAACAATGGCTGCAACAGCACAGAATACGCCTTCTGGAGTGGCCCAGTCAGAGTCCTGACCTCAACCCGATTGAAATGCTGTGGCATGACCTTAAGAGAGCGATTCACACCAGACATCCCAAGAATATTGCTACACTGAAAAAGTTTTGTGAAGACAGTGGTCCAAAATGACTCCAGATCGTTGTGCAGGTCTGATCTGCAACTACAGGAAACGTTTGGTTGAGGTTATTGCTGCCAAAGGAGGGTCAACCAGTTATTAAGTCCACACATACTTTTTCCTCCCTGCACTGTGAATGTTTACATGTTATGTGCAATTAAACCATGGCAACATCTAATGTTTGTGTAGTATTATGTTCAGCAGACTGTGTTCTTCTATTGTTGTGACTTAGATGACGTTCAGAGCACATTTTATGCCCAATTCATGCAAAACTCCACGTAATCCCAAGGGGTTCACATACTTTTTCTTGCAACTGTATATATATATACATACACACATATATATATATATACACACACACACACACACACACACACACACACACACACATATATATATATATATATATATATATATATATACACACACACACACACACACACACACACACACACACACACACACACACACACACACACACACACACACACACACACACACATATATATACACACACACATATATATATATATACATACATACACACACACACATACATATATATATATATACACATACACATTATATACACACACACACACATATTACACACACACATACAGGGGGGACTGACCATTTGAAAACTCGGGCACTGCCCGAGGTCAGTAGGGGGCCCCATGAGATGCCCCTGGTACCTTTTTCATAGGCTTTTTTGAGTTTGGGCAAGGACACAGGGGCCCCATGATCCCCTATTGCCTGGGGGCCCCATGAGTTGTCAGTCCGCCCCTGATACACACACACATTTTTGTGTAATACAATGTTAACCATTGCATTTTTTCAGATTTCAAATATGTTTTACCATCAACGAAAGTTCTACTCACAGCACCAGTTTTGTGCCTGGATTCCCATAGGAGGAAGGAACTGTGCAGGCAGCCCTGAGCAGCTGATGCCTCCAGCATTCCTAAAGCTTCTTTCTTTCGTTGCTCATCCTATCATAAGAACATTAAATATGGTTAGTGTGCAATGCGTTGTGTGTGCGGTCTGTCCAGAGATTGCAGCATGTATGTGATTCACCAAAGGCCATATTTAGAGCGTGTGCTGCTCTAGACATATATGAATGCCACCAACCAATTTTCTAAATGTCACACAAATCAAATTCAGTATGATGTCTGGTTCATATGCAAAGTATAAGGCTGGCCACATAAACAGACTTTTTTCACCAACAGAGTTCTCCATCCACACCTGACAGCAGGGATGGACGAATCTCCCGGCTATTGCATTCTACCAGCCAGCATTGGCTAGCACCCCCAATTTATGGCCAGTTTAAGAACTTGGAGGGATCCCTACCACACACAGCCATCTAATGAGCAATGGTGGAACCTTCATCCTGAATGGATCTCACATTGTATAAAATCACAGCAAACATTTTTTGCAGTGACAACCCCATCAAAAACCACTCTATAGTAGAAAATATGGATGCTTAGATATTGCAATGCCTGTGGACTGAATGATCAGTAGGCCAGGCTAGCGTCACTTGGGTAAGCAGTCCTAGGTATATGCAAAAAGCATCTTAAAGAAAGTTGTAACTAATAAAAGTCCTCCAAAAAGGCAGAGCTGGATAGGCCCATTACTACAAAAGGGCAGCAGAACTGAAGTGCTATGCTTATACAACATGAGATGCAATACATTTCAGTTACCAGTCCTTAAAATGTGCTGGCTTCTAGGGTAACACCACTCACATTCACCTTACTGTATGTATGGAGGAGCAGGGTCTAGGACATGACTAGAGAAGAACTCCCTCTATCCTCTATTACTTAGGAGGAGGCGTTCTGTAGTCCTCAGAGACAGTAAATATCAGTCAGCAGAGGAAATTCTCAGCTCAAAAGATCTGTCAGGATCAACAGGTTTTTTTTTTTGCACTTATCAAAGAAATATAAACGAAACACTCTCAGTGCAGATCAAAACAGGGCACATAAGAGAAGTTCATTTTTAGAGTTTAAGTTTCTGTACCCCGCAGGTTTTACTGCAGTACAACAAATTCACCAGTAGGTGTTCCCACAGACAAAATCTAGAAATACTACTGGTGCACCAAAGTGAAAATTCAGGCTGCACTTGGCCGAAAACCGAAACAGAAATGGACAGTTTTTAAAAATGAATATAATTTGTAAACTCAATTTTTTTGCAAAAAAAAAATTACTTTAATGTAAAAAAAAAAAACAACAAGAAAAAAACAATTTATATCCCAATTTATGTGTAAAATATGAAAGATGATGTTACACCAAGTAAATGGATACCAAACATGTCATACTTTAAAATTGTGCACGCTTGTGGAATGGCGCCAACCTACGGTACGTAAAAATCTCCATGGGTGATAGTTTAAAAATTTGCACCCAACTGTCCTCTGATCCATTCCACTTAACAGATCCCTTCTGTTTTCTTTTTGGTAGTCCAGATCGGATTGGAGGTAGGCGGGTGTAAATGGACACAAGTCCATTTACACCTGCCGGTCCATAGGGATACACGAACCATCTGATCAGGTCCGCCTGAAAAACTGACAGGTGGATCTAATCGGATTGTCCATGTGAAAGGGGCCTTACATGACAAGACTGGAGGAGACTCATTATTTACCTCAAACAGGCTTAGGACCTTTGCCAGACAATACTGTATAGATCCCTGGAGACCCTTAAACATAAAAAGAAAGTTGTATTATCAATTAAATATTGGGAATGTAGGTTAAAATATACTTAAAACTATCTGCACACAAATTCTCATAAAAATAAGATATATAATAAAAGTATATAAACAGGATTTTATCATTAACTAAAAACAAAGAAATACTTGCAAAAAGATCAATAGATGCCAAGATACATGCATCTGCATTACTATGTAAATCCTGACTTTTCTTGCATGCCTCCTATAAACAGTCCATCTAATAACCCAAGAAATGTGTGTCCATGAGCACAGAATCATTACTTAGAGAAATCACCTAAATTGTATCTAAACCCAAAAACAATATTTAATATTATTGCAGCTTACCCGTTCTTAGATATGGTGGCTGCATTGGCTTTCATTTTTTAGGCATTTTATTTATTTTCACCTGGTGTTCCTGCAAACAGACTTCCTTTCCCTTTATGTCTATACTCTATTTCTTTTTTTTTTCCCATTTTATCTTTTATTAAATTTTCTTTTAAGAAAAAAATACCTTACAAAACCATCATAAATCTTTTTACATTTTACATATAAACTTAATCCCCATCACACCTCTGTCCAATCTCATCTTATCCTCTCTTTCCCCTTCTATTAATCTAGTCATATATATAGATCATCTATACTCTATTTCTGGGGTCAGCTGTCACACAGGCTGGACTTTATCTATGTCTACCTTTGTTCATCGTGTAGTTCTTTACAATTGTGGCAATTCCATTTTACTACGTGTATTACATAAACAATTGATTGTCATTTTTGTTGGCATTTGGGTATTACAACGTCCTCCATTGCATGACTACATGCAGTCGACTCTTCTTATTCTTTGACTACATGGAGGATTGATGGGATTAGTGGTTTATACAAGAAAGAGTCCTTTCTTCTAAGCACACAGAAGTGACAAGGACACTGCATTACTAAGAAAGATCAGCAGGTATTTTCTGTACGTGCTGAAAACTAATGCAGCCATCACCTCCAAGGACTAGTAAGCTGCAATATATTACATTTTTATTTGATTTTGATACACTTTAACCACTGTAGTCCCAGAGCCATTTTTTTTATTTTTTTGCACACATTTAAAAATCAATTTGGGTCTGAAGATTACTAAAACATTTTAAGAAAGGAGACATCCTAAAGAATAAAATAGTGGTAGATCCATTTTTTTTGTCACACGATATTTGTGCAACGGATTATGAAAAGCAAAACTTCAGTAAGAAATACACTACAGTTATGTTTAGGGAACATATTTTTTTTTTTTTTTTTTTTTTTTTTTTTTTTTTTTGAGTAAAATATAAAAAAAAAATGAAGTTGTTCAGAGGAAATATATACCCAGCATGTCAAGCCTTAAAATTGGGTGCTCCCAAAATGGCAATAAACTTCAATATCTCATATTTTCTAGAGATGATGCTTTAAAAGCCCCTAGAGGGGGGGTCAGCAAATAGTAGATCAAGATCTACCAGTGGATCTCGACCAGGTGACTGGTAGATTATGGTCAGGGTTTGCAGATCCACCATCCCAGAGCATCAGACTGCAATACAGAGGGACTACTTGTAAAGATGGAGCTGTAGTAGGGAGCAAGAGTGGCATGAGCCAATGTCTCCTCTGTAGTGCCGGCTCCTATGCCCTGCCATGGTTGGTGGGTGTAGCACCTGCCAAGCATGACCCATCAAGTGAATGAGGCTGCTCTGCAAGTGCCCTTTAGTACAGCAAGCAAGGGGTTAAAGCAGGCAGCCTTGTGTTACTTTCTCCCGACCTATTTTAACCCCTTGGACCTCGCAGAAGCATGCAGTTACAGTGGGCACTTGCTGAGTGGCCCCATTTACTTGACTGGGTCTCGATTGCCAGGTGGTGGCACCTACCAAAAGCAACAGGGGATGTAATTCTTGCTGCGGCATGTGTACACCTTTGGCTGGTGCCTCAACAGCTAAAAGGGGTAGGGATGAGGGGTATGTAAAACTATTACTCAATTGCAGGGATTTTCCATCCCCCAAATTTACATGTCAATGAGCCCTAAGAGTGCAACTGCCAAATGCAACCAAGGGCTCATTCACAAGTGCATCAGGCACTGCTGCTCCTCTGCAAAGTGATCTGTGTGTTTGACAGATTGTAAGGAGGCGATATGTTGCCTCCTCACCACTGGATTTAAACCCATGATTGCCGTGAAATGCAGGCGATTGTGACATGGTAATACAGCATTTAGAGGTTTAAATCAGATGTGAGGAGGCAACACTGGGCCCGGTGATCTTTAACTAATCCCGTGTTGTTCAGGTGGATCGCCACCTCTTTAAGGTTGCCTACCCCTGCCCTAGAGATCATTAGTTTAGATTTAACCATTTCTATACCGGGCACTTTTACCCCCTTCCTGCCCAGGCCATTTTTCAGGTCTCAGCGCTCTCACACTTTGAATGACAATTGCGCGGTCATACAACATTGTACCCAAACTAAAATTTTATCATTTTCTTCCCACAACTAGAGCTTTCTTTTGGTGGTATTTAATCACCGCTGGGGTTTTTATTTTTTGCTAAATTAACAAAAAAAGACCGAAAAGTTTAAAAAAAAAACCCCACGTATTTCTTTGTTTCTGTTATAAAAGTTTGCAAATAAATAATTGTTCTTCAAAAATTTAGGCCGAGATGTATTCTGCTACATGTCTTTGGTGAAAATAACCCAAATTAGGATGTATTTTTTAGTTTGTAGGAAAGTTATAGAGTTCACAAACTATGGTATAGATCTGAATATTGATCAATCCTGAAGTACTGACAGCCAATCTAATTTCTTGAGGTCCAAGAATGTCAGAACAGTACAGATATCCCCCAAATGTCCCCTTTTTTCAAAGTAGACAGTCCAACGTACTTCATAAGAGGCACGGCGAGTTTTTTGAAGTTGTATTTTTTTGTCAGAATTTTTCAGAAAATGAAAAAATTAAAAAAAATTTAACTTTTTTTTTTTTTTTTTTTTTAACATACTGTCACCAGTGCAGTACAGCATCATCATATAACTGGCATGGTGGTGATCAGGGACACTGACTGGTGACAGTATGAAAAAAAAAAAAATTTAACTTTTAAGATTTTTTTTTTCATATTTCACTATGACCAAAGTAGTACAATGTTACCATAGTAACATTGTACTGCTTTGGGGAAGTGATCAGTATTTTTTTTTTTTACACAATTTGCTTATAGCAAAGAATTACTTTGCTATAAGCAAGCATTTACCTGAATGACATCGATTCATTCAGGGCTTTTTTTTTCTGCTTAGCTGTGATTTGGCCATGGCTAATCACATGACACAGCTGGGCTGTGATTGGCCCAGCTTGTGCATGTGATCGCTGTGACCACACAGCTAGGCACACTAGTATACAATGGATGGCATGAATGAGTGGCTCTGCAGGAGCGCAAACTGTGCATGCCCGGGAGGACTCTATATGGCGTCCACCCGGAACGCTGAGGAATTTTGCCGGCCGCCATCTGGCCATATGCCGGGTGGGTAAAGGTTAACCATAAATAATGGACCTAGAGTTATTACTCTCATTTTGGTGTTTGTGGTGATATATAACATGTGTAGCACAATCAACGATTTTGTGCATAGGCACCCCTGGCACGTGCATTTATGTGCATGTTATGTGGGATGTTTCTTAAAACACTAAACTTTTTTTTCCCCATCACATAGGGGACAAAAGTCCCCTATGTGATGCATTTTTGGTAACATATTTTATGAAGCGGCTAAAAAAACGAAAAAAAAAAAAAACACCTTACAGACGTGATAAAAAACATTTTTCCCCAAAAAATATTTTCTTTTTTTTCAAAAACTTTTTTTGTTTTTTCATTTTAAGAAAACACCCCAAGGGTTACAATTAAAACTTAATATGGAATAAATGATGGATGCATTCTGAAAGTTTGAACCTGGCTAACAAACACAGATATGCCTAAGGGCTTGTTTCAGGCTGAGGCCTGGTACATTCACCTACTGCAAATATATACATCCCTGAAGAAGACAATTACACAAAGATTACTGTAGATAGATGGCATTATACAGTCAACATTCAATTATTACTTACCCCTGTAATGCTTTCTCCCTCCTTGGCCTCCCCTTGGCACTCCTCCTTTAGGCTATCAAAGACTACAGCTTTACAGCAGCTTCCAGAGGCTGACCAAGGGGGCCGAATAAACAGCCAGACAAAGGGGTATGCAGAAGAATTCAGCTTTTCAGTTAAGGCAAAAAAGCGGGAGGCCTTTAGCCCATTCACCTCAGCTCGGCCATCATCTGACATAGACACTTAATAAAAAAAAAAAAAAAAAAAGTGTTTATTTTATTTATTTAATGACATCTATACTCAACAATGAAATAAGTCAATTCACTAAAAAAATGCGTTATTTACCAAATGCTTGAAATATTTATGTTTTGTGAAATTTAGCACTTAAATTTTGTGTTATTTTTTTCACATTTTTTTTTTTGCAGGCTAACATTGTACCAGAATGCACACAGCGACACTGTGAAACTATGAAAACATTGTAGTGTGCTTTCATTCACAAAATGAGCTCCCTCTGATGAAATGTTGCAATTTATTTTCATTCCTCAGCTCAGAGGAGAACATTTTTACACTGATACATTATATACTTTTCACTTTCTGGCCAGTGCAGAGTTCCTCTAATTGTTATTTTGTACATTTCTAAAATACGGCAAACACCTGGTGATAAATAACGAATGTGTGCGTTTATTAATGAATTGACTTTAATGATTTATCTAATTTTTTAACTGGCTACCGCGTTTCGAGGACACAACCTCTTCCTCAGAGCCAACTTGGCTCTGAGGAAGAGGTTGTGTAGCCAGTTGCTCATCCAGGGTTCCATCGTATGGACTCAGATGTTGTTTGGATCATAAAGCTTGTTCAGTTTGACATGCCTGTGTTATTATGTCCATTGTGAGTATGATACCTATTTTTGTTTCTAGATCTTACATTTGATAATTTACTTTGATGAATTGAATCTTATTATCTCATGCAATAATTTATGCAAATTTGTCACGTGACCCTGTTATCGCATGTGGTAACCTTTAGTGAATGGGACCCCTTTGTGCCAAATATTTAACAAAAATAAATTCACAACAAACTAGTGACATCACCAAGTGTTGAACCTGGCTATTTTTTAAGGAATGTCCCATCTAGCTGCCATTTTTTTCTTACTCCCAGGCAACTTGCCTTAAAGCACTAATACAGATGTTGTTCTGCCAGCACTTTCAACTCCTCCTCTTCTACATGTGCCACCAAAGGAAACTGCTTCTTATGGTGGCACACATGCAGCCATGCTTCCTAAGCCTTGCTGTGTGCATCTATTGATGCACACAGTGTGGGATGGCGCCACTCACGTTCTTTGCCTACAGGATTCGATTGGCAGTAGCCAATGGCTTCCACTGCTGCCTCTGTGCTCTGTGAGAGAGGGAAGAGCCACTGCACATGGACACAGCACTGGATTGAGTGAGGACTTCCCATACGGAAGAAAAATATATTTGAAACATATTTTTAAAATATTCTTATCAAATATATTGCCATATATTTGAAATGCTACAATTTTGCCCATATTCAATAAATTTCAATTTTTTTTTTAAATAAATATATATATATATATATATATATATATACACACACACACACACACACACACACACACACACACACATATAAACACACACACTGCGTTTTTATTACAAAATATTACAAATATTTATAAAAATACATTTCAAATATACTGTATGTCTTTAAGAATGCAAATCTACATTTTTGGAATGCATTTACAAATTTATGTAAAAATATAAGCTAAAATGACTTTATGTTAAAAACATATTTTAAATATATTTTTCAGATTTTTTTAACATACAAAAAAGTCATTTTAACATCTTTTTACAAATATTTGCAAATGCATTGCAAAAAATGTAGATTTGTATTTTTAAAGACATCCAGTATAATTGAAATGTATTTTTAAAAATATTTTTCATATATTTTGTAATTAAAATGCATGTCAACATGCAGTGTGTGTGTGTGTATATATATATATATATATATATATATATATATATATATATATATATATATTTATATTTTGAAATATATTGAATATGGCCGAAAATATAAAAAATATTCTTCCCAAATATATTGACATATATTTGAAATGCTACAATTTTGGCCATATTAAAAAAAAAAAAAAAAAAAAAAAAAAAATATATATATATATATATATATATATATATATATATATATATATATATAAAAATTCTTTTTTTTATACAATATCTATATATTTATTGAAATATATTGAATATGGCCAAAATTTAGCATTTCAGATATATAGCAATATATTTGGGAAGAATATTTTTTTAAATATATTTTTCTTACATGTGGGTTATGTAAGCATTGGGGGGTGGGGGGCATGAATCTTGAAAAGCTAGCTGTTTGGCTGCTAGGTTTCACTACTTTACAAGTCACTGACCTGAGATATGTATGCAGATCAAGAGAGCAAAAGAAAAGTCTGAAGATCTAAGCTACATAAACCCCTTCCCGCCGGCGCCTCCCAACCCTTTAAGAGTTTCAGAAGCCAGGAGGCGGGAAGGGCGGGGTTTAGGGATCAAGTGACCGCCATGGCGGTCACATGATTGGGAAAGGTCCTGAACGAAGGAGCAGACTGGGACCTTTCCGTGAGTACCGGACATGTGTGCTGGGAGCGCTCTCAGCACATATGTTTTTTCTTACCTGAACGCAAATGTGCGGCCGCTCGGCGTCTAGGCCCAGACGCGGGAGGCCGCACATTTGTGTGTGGCCGGCGTAAAGGGGTTAAGGGATGTGCTCTGGTGTGCTGGATCTTGGTCTGAACCCACCTAAGGGATCCCACCAGGAATCTGTAACTGTACTTGGCCAATCATCTGCTGAGGCATTCCCCACCTCGTAACCATATGCATACACACTCCTCCTATGCCAAAACCATGGACATTACCATGCAGTTGCCACCTTCCCTTGAAGCTATAACATTCTCCATTCTCCTTTGGAATGTGTGGGCCCATTTACCCAAAAGAGCACTTGTGAGGTCAGGTACTGACGTTGGATGAGAAGACCTGGCTCAAAATCAGTGTTCCATTTCATCCCAAAACATGTTCAGTATGGCTGAAGTCAAATGTTTTTGTGGGCCACCACAGTTCCTCCACACCAAACTCCTCAAACCATGTCTTTATGGAGCTGGCTGTGTACACAGGGGCAGAGTCATAATGGAACAAAAAAAAAGAAAAAAAGGACTTCCTCAAACTGTTGTTACAAGGCTGGAAGAGCACCTTCAGTCTAAAATGTCTTTGTATGCGCTCACATTAACAATACCTTTCACTGGAAACTCTAGAACTCAATTTAAAGGGGTGTCCAAGGTTGGAAATATAGGTAGGTGTGATGGAGAAATGTTCACAAACGTTTGGCCGTATAGTGTACATGGGTAAATAATGACACAGCGAGGCACTTACAGCCCTCATTATACAAGTACGCGATTCCCAGCTTCACACAAGCTTCAAAGTTCCCACATTCTGCTGCCCTGGAAAAATGAGAAGGAAAAGTCGTCATTACTACTTTAGCTGTCAAAAGGTCCCCCTTTGGAAGAGTTCCCCTCAGCTACACTAATATATATATGGTTCAGTCTGTCTCATCAGGAGATAAGACATGGACATTTGAACAAGAGGAGGATCAGAGAGGACAGGATCAAACAGCCTTTTTATACAATGCAGAGTATTAACCCCTTAGGTTCCACAGTGAGTATAACAAGCATGCTTTACTGCATATACAGACTGATTTTACTGTTGTGGGTTTAGTAACACTTTAAAGTTTTAGTTCACCTTTACAGAAAATGTAAGGCGATCTGACATTGGACCCCCTCCCCATCCTCCCCCGGTCCCGTTGTACTTCAGTCTCTCAATCCTGCACTGTCAAGCACTGGCATGCCGTTCTGCTGGACTTGAAAGTCCGGAGGATTTCTCTCCTTCTTGCAGTGCTAACAGGACGGGCTAGATGGATTCTGTCCACCTGACAGTGCTGACCAATTAGAATCCCTCTGGTCTGTACAGGCTGAAAAGTGGGTATTTTAAATCCCCAGACCGGTAGAGCAGCATGCTGGTGCAGAATCACGGTACTGAAGTACAGCAGGAAATTGGGAGATGGAAAGGGAGTCCAGTGTTAGGACACCTTACAGATTTTCTGTAAAAGATGAACACTTTAAACTAAGGTCTCTGAAGACACAAGGCCAAAGAATGAAGCTGGATGAGAAGCGTTTCAATCTTACACTGTGCAAGGGGTTCTTTACTGTTAGAGCAGTAAGGATGTGGAACTCCCTTCCACAGTTAGTGATGTCAGTGGACAGTGCCCTAAACTCACACAAACCCATTGAATTGGGTGGACCTGAGTCTTTATTCAAACTTACTATGTAATCTTTCCTTCTGCTGACAACTCTAAATTTTGAAAATGCAATCACAAGCTGTCTTTGACACTGGTCACCAGGGAAAGGAAAAAAAAAAAAAAAAAAAAAAAAAAAAAAAAAAAAAAAAAATCGCAAGGGTGAGTCTCTTCAGCAGAGACAGCCGCAATATAAACTCCACAGGGTTTTCTAATCCTTTGACACCATCTTCAAAAAAATGTTTTGCCTTCACATACACTTGGGAGTCCCGAAAAGAAATAAAGAAGCAGCAGGGGACTCAGCAGTCCACACTCCAGTCATAAATGAAAGATCACTTTGGGGTGGGTGGAACTTACAGTACCAATAGAGAAAGATTTTATAGGCAAGGGCTCATTATCCACATTTACCTTTCAAAGAGTTGCAGGTTTTCAGGAGAAGGCCACACATCTTGAAAACAGGCTCGGGCCCAAACACTGCTGTGAGTGTCCACCAGGGACCTCAAGTGAGGATGAACCTGGAAAACAGCAAAACCATACAAATTAATCTGAACCTTTCACCCTCCCAGCTACATTAAAGAATACGTAAACCCAACATTTCATATTCCAGATATGTGCCTGCTGTACCACAAACATGCAAGAAAAAGTATCCTGTCCTTTTTGTAAAATCCCCGGTGTTCCTGCCAGTCATTCTCCTTTTCCTATTAAAACGGTCCACACTAGGCATGAGAGGACACAGCATAGTCAGCTCTCTAGCTGTACTGAGAACTCAGCCTGTTCTCCTCCAATGATCAGACTTAACCTGACATGCGCCTGCCCGCCTCGCACAACCATTCACTGGGAAGACCAGTGTGCTGCTGTTCCCCCAACCCCCCCCCCCCCCGGGTCTCTAAGCTCCTTATGCAGCTGAGAACAGAGGGTATGTGATCACCTTTAAAAAACAATAAAAAGGAGGAAAAAACAAAAAACAAAAAAAGGAAAAAAAAAAAAAAAAAAAGAGGAAAAAAAACAAAAAACAAAAACAAAAAAAGGAGGAAAAATAAGGGAATTTATACAATTTTTTTTAATACCTGTACACAACTGTTTTGCCTTTCATTTCTGTTTTAAACTGAATGGATTGTTTTACAAGCTGAGGGCTTACATATACTTTGAACAAAGATGTGACACACATAGTGTCTTACTGGTTAGCGCATCTGGAGCCCTAGGTTCAAATCCCAGCTAGGGCACTATCTGCATGGAGTTTGCGTGTTCTCCCTGTGCTTGTGTGGGTTTCCTCCCACACTCCAAAAACATGCTGGTAGGCTGAGTGACTCCCCTCTATCCTGATCTTGTATGTATGAATGTGAGGTAGTGCCCTTAGATTGAGGTCAGGGACTGCTATGAATATGCAGTATGTAAAGTGCTGTGTAAATAGTGAGCGCTTTATAAATACCTAGAATAATGGAAAGTTCATAGTCTTACATTTCGCATAGAGAGGATATCTGTTGCAGGCAGGCATTCCAGGATATACAAGAGGACATCTTCTGGAAGGTTGAGCAGCGTTAGCAGGCGCGGACGTCGTTTCACCCTCCGCTTGGGTGGGACAGTAAAGCATTTTGAGCAGCGACAGTGCAGGACTGTATGAAGAAAGAAAGAGTATGAGAAGGCTGAGCTATGAAGCGGATATTAAAAAGGATAACTAAACCTGAACTAGCAGTCAGCGCACACATCATGAACATTGGCAGAGCAGTAGCTGTATGATAGGCTGGATTCACACACATGTCAGCACATAGCCAACCAGCATGTCCTAGGATGACAACACTGCTCCTGCAGAGGCACAAGCTGTCAATGTTGTCACCTGGGACACAAGAAAAAAAACAAAACAAAAAAAAGGACCTACTAAAGTCACTATGCAATCAACAATCCGCTTACATGCATTCTCCATCCTTGGTCACCAATCCTTAGGAAGGATGTGCATGAACTGGAGAGAATCCATAAAAAGGACAACAGAACTAATAAAGAGGCTGGAAAACCTCAGTTATAAGGAATGATTACAAAAGTGAACATTCTCTCTGGAGGAGAGATGCTTAAGGGGATAAGACTGCAGTGTAGAAAACTTTCAATGGTGATAGTATCACTGGGGGAACCCCATAGACAACCAGCATGTCCCAGTAAGCCGCTTTGACCTAGAGCATTAAAGTGTAACTAAACCCCCAGGACCCCGCATTCACTATATCCGGTCTCCCCCGGACCCCGCATACACTGTATCCGGTCTCCCCGGACCCCGCATTTACTATATATCCAGTCTCCCCGGACCCCGCATTCACTTATCCGGTCTCCCCGGACCCCGCATTCACTATATCCGGTCTCTCCCCGGACCCCGCATTCACTATATCCGGTCTCCCCGGACCCCGCATTCACTATATCCGGTCTCCCCGGACCCCGCATTCACTATATCCGGTCTCCCCGGACCCCGCATTTCACTATATCCGTCTCCCCGGACCCCGCATTCACTATATCCGGCATTCTCCCAGGACCCCGCCGCATTCACTATATCCGGTCTCCCAGGACCCCGCATTCACTATATCCGGTCTCCCAGGACCCGCATTCACTATATCCGGTCCTCCCCGGACCCCGCATTCACTATAATCCGGTCTCCCAGGACCCCGCATTCACTAGCATATATCCGGTCTCCCAGGACCCCGCATTCACTATATCCGGTCTCCCAGGACCCCGCATTCACTATATCCGGTCTCCCAGGACCCCGCATTCACTATATCCGGTCTCCCAGGACCCGCATTCACTATATCCGGTCTCCCCGGACCCCGCATTCACTATATCCGGTCTCCCCGCAGTTTACTATATTGGACCCCGCATTTCACTATATCCGGTCTCCCCGCACCCCGCATTCACTATATCCGGTCTCCCCGGACCCCGCATTCACTATATCCGCTCTCCCCGGACCCTGCATTCACTATATCCGGTCTCCCGGGACCCCCCCGCATACACTATATCCGGTCTCCCAGGACCCCGCATACACTATATCCGGTCTCCCAGGACCCCGCATACACTATATCCGGTCTCCCAGGACCCCGCATACACTATATCCGGTCTCCCAGGACCCCGCATACACTATATCCGGTCTCCCAGGATCCCGCATTTATATATCAAAAAAATAAAAATCCCAGTGGTGAATAAAATACCACCAAAAGTAGTTTTTATCTGTCTAAAAAAAAAATGCTAAGAAATGCTAATAAATGTAATATGGGTACAGTGTTGCATGACCGGGCAATTGTCATTCACAGTGTGATAGCACTGAAAGCTGAAAATTGGCCTGGACAGGAAGGGGTGAAAGTGTCCGGACTTGAAGTGGTTAATTCAGTTCTACTACCATTTGCTACAAATGTCACAATCGTAATTAGAATCCCACACACACTCTTAATGCCGCATCTGGCAGATTTATAAGTAATGGCTTTGCATTAGCTCAGCAATGTCCCTTGAAAACTTTGAATTAAAATAATAACCATGGCTTTAAGTCATTGTCACAGCTGCGTATTATCGGTTGAGAGCGCTCTTCGATTTGAAGGTCTTAAAAAGCCGAGTTGTATAAATCAAGGCATGCGTCAATACACACGGCGGCACCAAATCCTTCATTATGGTGTAATGGGACTGGGATTTTCCGGCAGCTTTATGAGCTCCTACTGACTGCAGTACCAACAACTCGTACATCAAATGTTTCATTATATGGGTTTCTTTTACGCTTCTTCGACTCGCACAACGCACTCCCAACTTGTGATTCTAGTCCCCCGGGCACAATAATGTGTCCTCTATCCAGTTGGTCTCTCTAGTGGTCGCAGGTGTCAGCACTCATTCGAATCCTGCGCTGTGCCAAGAGACCGACTGACAACATGGCGCTGACGGCATCAATCTTAGAGGGTCCCTGGTGGAATGGTAAAAGCTTTTGACCATGAGATGTCATAGATTTTAAAGTGCATACATCACCAGAGAAATGCTGATGGACAGGCAGAAACCTTTAGAGGGGACGTGTACTGAAATGTATAGGCTGCTGTCCTCTTTCTGAAAACTCTAGTTTTTTTTTAGGGTTTCTCAACCAGGGTTTCCGTGGAAGCCTAGGGTTCCTCCAGAGGTTACTAGGGGTTCCTCGAGCAATCAGCAATTTTTGCCTCTCATTTAAGTTCCCCAGTGACACCATTGATCTGTTTAGCTATCTATAAGGGGGGAATTCTTCCCAATGTCCACAAGTGTAAGGAGCATTCTTCCCACTGACCATCACGCTAATGTATCAGGAGCAGGGGCGGACTGACAACTCATGGGGCCCCCGGGCAATAGGGGATCATGGGGCCCGTGTCCTTGCCCAAACTCAAAAAAGCCTATGAAAAAGGTACCAGGGGCATCTCATGGGGCCCCCTACTGACCCCAGGCCCTTGGGCAGTGCCCGAGTTTCCAAATGGTCAGTCCGCCCCTGATCAGGAGTTGTGGGTATAGTCATTTTAAGCAGGGGCTCCACCAGACTGGAAAGTTATTCCAAGAGTTCCTCTTTGTTGAAAAAGGCTGTTCTAGTTGCTTGTCTCTGGCTTTAACCACTTCCAGACCGGACACTTTCACCCCCTTCCTGTCCAGGCCAATTTTCAGCTTTCAGCGCTATTACACTTTGAATGACAATTGCGCGGTCATGCAACACTGTACCCATATGAATTTTTTAGCATTTTTTTTAGACGGATAAAGCTTTATTTTGGTGGTATTTATTCACCACTGGGATTTTAATTTTTTTGCTATATAAATGAAAAAGTCAAAAAATGTTGAAAAAAAAGTGTTTTTCTTATAAAATATATATAATATTTCATCATAAATCTTAGACAAATTTTATTCAGTTATCTTTTTAGTAAAAAAAAATAACCCAAATTAGTTTATATCCAAGCATTATAATTTTTTTAAAAAATGTTTACTTTTTTTTTATATTTTTTTTTTACATACGGTTACCCTAGCAATACAGTGTCACCATGGTGACACTGTACTTGTGGGGCTGATGAAGATTTTTTTTTTTTTACACTGATTGCTTTTACACCCATAAAGGCTGTAAAAGCAATCATTTCTCCTTCTCTCTGGCTGAATTCCTGCAGCCATTGAGAAATGCTGTGTGAGCTGTGATTGGTCACAGCTTGTCACATGGTACAAGGCTGTTGTGAATAGCCTTGTACCATGTGATCTCTGTGATCATTCACAGATTTCACACGTAGTAAGCAATGATGTCAGAAGTGACATCTTGCTTATTACTCTGCATGTGATCACTGACTGGCCAATCAGTGATCACATGATCCGGACCTCACAGAGGTGCCGTAATGACGATCGGTGTTCCAGTGTGTCCGGAGGACACAGCGAACACCGGATCGTGGTGCTGTGCGCTCCAACCCAGGGAAATGAAAATGCGGGTGCTGTGTATGAACGGCAACCCGCCCCTGAACTGCCACCGCCCTGCCGCTTATAAACAATGGCCGGTCACACGGGAAGTGGTTTAAAGCTAAACTCCAGGCACAAACATTTTTCATTGGTATATATTCCTTAATATCCACTTTGTATGTATCACACACACCCTTGCAAACCCAGATATTGTCTCGTAAATGTAGCAGTGACATCAACACCGTGCTGTACATACCCAGTGCAGAGAGCAGCAGTTGTGGGAGGGGTTCAGCAGGCTCCACACACTACAGGCTGCCTTTAGAAATCTACAGGAGGGGGTGGAGAGACAAGACCAGTCACCCTGCACAAGGAGAGAGAGCAGCAATGACAGGTCTTTATTACAGGGAAAACTCATGCATAGAGGTAAGGTTTCACCCTGGAATTACTGCACAGATCTGGAAGAAATACACAATGTGCCAAGATTCAAGGAAGAATACACGACTTTATACTTAGGTAAGATTTTCTTATCCCAAAGTTCACCCTTAAAGGCTCGATCACCAATGTGTTGTGGCCCTCTTAAGAGCGATCTGCATTTAGATTGCCCTTCAGAGAGCATTTGACAGGCAGTGAGGAGGCATTGTATCGCCTCCCACTGCCTACCCTCCCCCCCCCTCCTCGCTGCCTACCTCCCCCCCCCCCCGGCCATCCTCACTGCCTACTCTCTCTCCCCCCCCCCCTCCCCCACTGCCTACTTTTTCCCCCCCCTCTCCCCACTGCTACCTTTTTCCCCCCCCTCTCGGCCTACTTTCTCTCCCCCCCCCTCCCCACTGCCTACCTTCTCCCCCCCCCCTCCCCTCTGCCCTCCTCTACCATCTCCCCCCCCCTCCCCCTCCCCCCCCCTCCCCTCCCCACTGCCTACCTTCCCCCCCCCCCCCTCCCCACTGCCTACCTTTCCCCCCCCCTCTCCCCACTGCCTACCTTCCCCCCCCCCCCCCCACCGCCTACCTTCTCCCCACCGCCTACCTTTCCCCCCCCCCTCCCTCCCCACGCCTACCTTCTCCCCCCCCCCTCCCCACCGCCTACCTTCTCCCCCCCCCCCCCTCCCCACCGCCTACTTTCTCCCCCCCCCCCTCCCCACTGCCTACTTTCTCCCCCCCCCTCCCCACCGCCTACTTCAACCTCCCCCCCCCCTCCCCACTGCCTACTTTCTCCCCCCCCTC